GGGAGGCCTGCTTCTCCCTCTCCCACTCCCCCTGCTTGTGTTCCCTCTCTCACTATGTCTCTCTCTGTCAAATAAATAAATAAAATCTTTTTAAAATAATTAATTAATTAATTAAAATTAACCTTTTCCAGAGGTAATCTTTGAAGTATTAAAGAAAAGACTGCCATGCTGAAGATCCATCATTTCTCCCTTCAGTTTGTCCACTGCAACATCAACGAGGGCAAGTTCATCCGCCAAATCCTAAAATACATGAAAGTTTTGAATAACATGTACTGAAGAATGTTCCTATTTCAGTTTTAGAAAAATGAGAAAAATTCATGTATGGCTACTTTATAATCAAAGTATAGTGATATTTTAATAGAAAAAATAATATAAAAGTGATAGTTGGTGAATGTGCCTAGAGTGACCAGAAGTCAAGGTAAGCAACAGAATGTAGCAAAAATTACTAATTGCTTTGCCTTCATATAATTGTTCGATTTTTTAGAAGTGGCTTTTTTTCCACTTCAGATAATAATTTAAAAATGATGAAAAGCTACTAAGTTCTTTCAAAGTATTTTATTACATTTAACCTTTATGCCTAATTTCTGAATTGGCTGAGGTTGTTTTTGATATGCATCCTTGTGGCCAAAATAGAAAGGTGGCCCTCTGTGGGAACCCATTTCAGGCACAGTACATTTAACATTGGATCTCCAACCTAGGGGTAAATGGGCATATAACCAGACCATAGCTCCCAGTCAGCGACACAATCATGAGGGTAAACAACGGATACACTTAACAACCATTCTGTTTTTTACTTTCAGTACCATATTCAATAAATTTCATGAGATATTCAACACTTGATTATAAAATAAGCTTTGTGTTTCATGGTTTTGCCCAACTGTAAGCTAATGTAGTTCTGAGCATGTTTAAGGTAGGCTAGGCTAAGCTATGATTAAATACATTTATTATTAAATACATTAATAATTATATCTTAAATACATTTTCAACTTAGGACATTTTCAACTTATGATGAGTTTATTGAGATGTAACATCATCATAAATCCAGGAAGATCTGTATAGTCTCTTTTTTACTTACTCTAATTTGAATTGAGTTTACCAAATGAAACAGAATACAGAACTATATAGAAGGAGTGTTTTCCCTCAGATTCCAGTGGCCAGATTCTAAAGATAAGAAGTAAGGGAAAAGGATCAAAGTCCCTATTTGCTACCATTTTTTCTCAGATCAGATACCATCTGACCTTTCTGGAAAACTGTAGATTCTAAAATGTACTAAATTATGTGTTATACATCAGGAATATGAGGAAGATAAGGAGTTTCACCCAGAAGGATCACATATCACTTCTAAGCTAACTGATAAGAAAACCAGATCATGTTTATGGATCCATTTTTATATTAGTCTATGTATCTGTCTGGGTCTGAACAGGAAAACAGAAACCACTCTAAGCATTTCAAAAGAAGGTATTTAATACAGGGAACTGGTTAGACAGCTGTTGGAGGGCTGAAACAACAAAAAGGGAACATTTGAGGTAACCCAGAGATAGAAATCACAGTTTGAAGCCACTACCCCTAAGACTGAGGGAACAAAGAGAGAGACTAAAGGAGGTGCTGATGGAGCCAGGCTCAGACCTCTGTAAGAAGCAAAACCTGGCTGCTACTGATACCACTGAAGGGGCAAAATGAGGCTGGGAGCTCCAAAAGAAACTGGAAGCTAGAACCAACAGCTACCACTGAAGCAAAGGGCTGCAGCTGAGATGAAAGTGACCAAAACAAGCAAACAGAAAGGAGATCATTTCTCCACTCCTGCATTCCAACTTCCCTCTAGTGCTTCCTATTCGCAGAACCTAACAAGATGCCAACTGGTAAAGGAGAAAAAGATTATGCAGAGATCGAGCACCAGCACCACAGAATACAGAAAGTTGGATTTGAAGCTGAATGATAGTAATAGCCAACACAGCCTGCTTTTTAAATTATATTTCCAACTTGAATTATGTATCTTCTTTTTTTGTTAAAGATTTTATTTATTTATTCATGAGAGATAGAGACAGAGGGAGAAGCAGGCTCCCCACAGAGTAGAGAGCCCGATGTCGGACTTGATCCCAGGACCCTGGGATCATGACCTGAGCCGAAGGCAGACACTTAACCAACTGAGCCACCCAGGTGTCCCGGATTATATCTCTTCTTAACAAGTTACCAGACAATTCTCTTTTCAAGGGAATCTTCCCAGCTCTGTTTGTCTTTTTTTTTTTTTTTTTTAAGATTTTATTTATTTGACAAAGAGAGAGAGCATAAGCAGGGTGGATGGCAGGCTGAGGGCGAGAGAGAAGCAGCTCCGTGCTGAACAGAGAGCCCGATGTGTGACTTGATCCCCGGACCCAGGGATCATGACCCGAGCCAAAGGCAGATGCTCAACGGCCTGAGCCACCCACGCATCCCCCAGCTCTGTTTGTCTTGACTGCCAAAGACAGAATTCAAATAATCCCAGACGTTCTTGTTTTCTAAGAATTAACTATATCTATGAGTCATTTCTCAAAAAGAATTCCAAATAGAGAGCCTGGGTTTATTTAACCTGCCAGAATCTTTTAAGAATAGTTATGAGCGGGGTGCTTAGTTGGCACAGTCAGTTAAGCATCTGACTCTTCGTTTTGGCCCAGGTCGTGATCTCAGGGTCATGGGATCATGCCCCGCATTGGGCTTCATGTTCAGCATGGAGTTTGCTTAAGACTCTCTCTCCCTCTCCTTCTGCCCCTCCACCCCACTTTCTCTGTCTCTCAAATAAATAAATAAATAAATCTTAAAAAAAAAAAAAGAATAGTTATGATTATTCCGGGATCTCTTCTCCAGGGAGTTCTAGAATAACCAAAGTAAGGTAAGAGAAGAGTAAAGTTAAAAGAGAATTAAAATTAATCTAAGGAAGACTGCTAGGACCACTATATTCTGTACAGCAGAAGGAAGTAGGACATACTGCTATGCTTTAAAGTCCACCTTTCAATGATATATGCAGGTGTTATAGTACTTATTAGGGCCTATATGTTCCTTGAAGTCAGTAAACTATATAAATATGCATATTTTAATATCCTTCATCACTTTCCATTTATCCCACAATGCACATCTATAGGAACTGGGTATTTACCAGTATACTAAGGATTCTAGTAGGAAATAAATGGGCTCCAACAACTGACCTTCTCTCACAACTGGAATTCTGAAATTTCATGATAATATGCCTTGGAGGAAGCTTTTTTTGATTCATTGTGCTGAGCACTCAATAAATTCTTTAAAATTTTATTTTTAAGTAATCTCCACACCCAATGTGGGGTTCAAACTCACAACCCCAAGATCAAGAGTCACATACTCCACTGACTGAGCCAGCCAGGTGCCCCCTTCAATAAATTCTTTTTTTTCCCCAATAAATTCTTTATATCTGCAAACTCACATCCTTCAGTTTTAGACTTTTTCTTTTATCTCTTGAATAATTTTCTTCTCTTTCTTTTTTCTTACTGAAATGTCAATGAGTAATGGGACCTCCTGATTGGTCCTCTAATTTCATTTCTTTTCTATATTTCATCTTTGACAATCTGCTTTCTAGCAGCCCAGTGGAAGTCAAAGGGTTTCTGCTTCACCGTCCAACTTGTAGACCTTCAACTAATCCTACTGCTTTCAATAAGATGCCTGTCTTTACTGTCCTTAATGTCTTGAGTGCAGAACCTGCCCGATTCAATTTCTCCAAAGAATATACTCCTTCCCCTTGCCTGCTGAGATGTGAGAGGTGGTTTCTTGGTTGAGTAAGGTACAGAAGAGAATCTGGTGTTTTTCCTTCTGATCATATAAACTTTGAACCAATTCTCCTGTGTTTGTCCCATCTCTTACCACCACTTTGTGAGGCGTTGGTACTTCTAATTGCTGAGCCTTTCTTGGGGTTCTGGAATTTAACTGGCTTTGCTTCTTCTCACCTTCCTCTGCCAGTTTTAAAAAAAAAATTATCTAAATAATATAGTAAAGCTTTTCAGAACACAACAGGATCTATGTCCAGTTGCCAAGGTTTGAATCCTAACCCCTTCACCTATACTAGCCACTTGACCATGGGCAAGTTACTTAATATCTATGCTTCACTATTCTCATTTTTTTTTTTAAAGATTTTATTTATTTATTTGAGACAGAGAGAAGGAGATACAGAGAGCATGAGAGGGAGGAGGGTCAGAGGGAGAAGCAGACTCCCTGCCGAGCAGGGAGCCCGATGCGGGACTCGATCCCGGGACTCCAGGATCATGACCTGAGCCGAAGGCAGTCGCTTAACCAACTGAGCCACCCAGGCGCCCCACTATTCTCATTTATAAATGGAGATGATAATGTACCTATCTCCCAAGGTTGTTATAAAGATTAAATAATACCTTTAAAACATTTTAAAAAGCAAAAGGCTTGGGTTTTTTGTTTTAGATTTTATTTGAGAGAGAGATAGTGAGAGAGAGCATGGGCAGGGGGAGGGGCAAAGGGAGAGGGAGAAGCAGACTCCCCAGTGAGCAGGGAGCCCGATGCGGGGCTCAATCCCAGGACCCTGAGATCATGACCTGAGCCGAAAGCAGATACCTAACCGACTGAGCCAGCCAGGTGCCCGGAGAAGCAAAAGGCTTGTACACTGAAAACTACAAATGTTGCTGAAACAAATTAAAGAAGATACAAATAAGTGGAAAGACATCACATGATCATGGATTGAAATACTTAATATTGTTAAGATGTCAACATACCCAAAACCATCTACAGATTTAATGCAAACCCCTGTGAAATCCCAATGACATTTTTTAAAGAAATAGAACAAAATCCATTCTAAAGAATCTTAAAGGACTCCAAATGGACAAAATAATCTTGGAAAAGAATAAATTTGGAGGTCTCATGCTTCCTGAATTCAAAACTTCTAAGTTTTCTTAATAGCATGGTATTGGCATAAAGACATATAGACCAATGGAACAGAGAGCCCAGAAATAAACTCTCACATATATGGTTAAATAATTTTTGACAGGAGTGCCAAGGCCATTCAATGGGGGAAAAGAGAGTCTTTTCAACAAATCATACTGGAATAAGTGGATATTTACAAGCAAAAGAATGAAGTTGGACCTATACCTTACACCATATACATAATTAAAAATGGATCAAAGACCTAAATGTAAGACCTAAAACTATATAAAACTCTTAGGAGAAAATATAAGGGAAAAGATTCATGATATTGGACTTGGCAATGATCTTTGGATATGACACCAAAACACATACAACAAAAATAAAAATAGATAAATTGAGCAGTGTCTGGGTGGCTCAGCTGGTGAAGCATCTGACTCTTGATTTCAGCTCAGGTAATGACCTCAGGGTCATGAGACCGAGCCCCATGTCAGGGTCTGTGCTGGGCATGAAGCCTGCTTAAAATTTTCTCTCTCCCTCTGCCCCTCCCACCCCCCTCCCACTCGCTTGCTCTCTCTCTTAAAAAAAATAATAATAAATTGAATTACATTAAAATTAAAAATGTCTGGGGCGCCTGGGTGGCTCAGTTGGTTAAGCAACTATCTTCTGCTCAGGTCATGATCCTGGAGTCCCGGGATCGAGTGCCGCGTCGGGCTCCCTGCTCAGCGGGGAGTCTGCTTCTCCCTCTGACCCTCTCCCCTCTCATGCTCTCTCTCTCAAATAAATAAATAAAATCTTTAAAAAAGTTAAAAATGTCTGTGCATCAAAGAACACAATGAAAAGAAACAGCAGAGTGAAAAGAAAACCACGGAGTGGAAAAAATACTTGAAAATCACAAATTTGGTAAGAGATTGATATCTAGAATATAAAAAGAACTCCTACAAGTCAACAACAAATAACCCGATTTAAAAACAGGCAAAGGAGTGGCGTCTGGGTGGTTCAGTCGCTTAAGTGCCCGACTCTTGATTTCAGCTCAGGTCATGATCTCAAGGCCTTGGGGTCAAGCCCTGCACTGGGCTCTGCACTCAGCGAGGAGTCTGCTTGAGATTCTTTCTCTCCCTCTCTCTCTCTGCTCCTCCCCACCTCCACCACCCTTCCCTTCACTCTCCCTCTATCTAAAAGTAAATAAAATCTTAAAAAAAAAAAAAAATAGATCCTTGGGGCGCCTGGGTGGCTCAGTTGGTTAAGTGGCAGACTCGTGATTTCACCTCAGGTCATGATCTCAGGATCCTGGGATTGATGACAGGCTTCACGCTCAGCAGGGATTTGGCTTGAAGATTTCTCTCCCTCTCCCTCTGCCCCTCCCCGTCTCCTTCTGCCCCTCCCCCGCTTGCATGCTCTCCCTCTCTAAAATAAATAAATCTTTTAAAAATAAATAAAGGGGGCGCCTGGGTGGCTCAGTTGGTTGGGCGACTGCCTTCGGCTCAGGTCATGATCC